GGGAGGAGAGGGAGGACATGGAAGGTTGAAAGAGGAGGCAGGGAGAGGGAAGAAAGGGGAAGGTAGGAGATAGGAAGGAGGGTGGAAATGGGAGAGGGAGAGGGTGAAGGAGGTGAGGGAGGAGAGGAGGTAGGAGAAGGATGGAGAGGGAGGGAAGGAGGAGTGGGCAGAGTAGGAGAAGGATGGGAGAGGAAGGAGGAGAGATGGGAGAGGTAGGTGAGAAGGATGGAGGGAGGGAGAGGGAAGGAGGAGGATGGGCAGGAGGTAGGTGAGAAGGATGGAGGGAGGGGAGAGGGAAGGAGGAGAGATGGGCAGGAGGTAGGTGAGAAGGATGGAGGGAGGGGAGAGGGAAGGAGGGAGAGATGGGCAGGGAGGTAGGTGAGAAGGATGGAGGGAGGGGAGAGGGAAGGAGGGAGAAAGCAATGAAGTAAGGGAGTGGAGGAGATTGAGTTGAAGGTTGACAAAAAGTAAAACAGAAAAGGAAAGTATATGAAAAGAAGGATGATAAAACAAGAGACGGAATTAAAGAAACGATAGAAAGTTGTAGTATGAGAGAGAGAGAGAGAGGTTACTATTAAACCTGACACCTCTGTGTATAAGAAATAATACAGGAAATTCAGTCTCACAGATATACTGTATTTTTTCCCAGGATTAACAGCGGAAATTACAAGTTCACTCTCCTTCAAACACACAAGTAATTGCTAATTAAAGAAGTTAAATTGGCCTTACTTCTTTTTTACACCTCGAGGCTTTTATTGACTAATTGGGATCATGTTTATAGCTGTTATGATTTAGTATAAATATTCGGCGTGACTGGGAAAACAAATTGTCAACATTATTTTTTAAGTTCTGTGATTTATTTGACTGGTTTTAGGTCGGGATAATTCAAGTTCCAGTACTTTTTCTTTTTTATATGGGTTCGGTTATCTTCAAAGGGTATATTGGTTCAGGGTTTGGGATGGTGGGTTTCATGGGGTTCAAGATGGTGGGTTCATGGGCTTGGGATGGTGTCTGGGCTTAGGATGGTGGGTTCATGGGCTTGGGATGGTGGGTTCAGAGTTTTCGTGATGGTGGATTCAAGGGTTCAGGGTGTTAGATTCAAGGGTTTGGGATGCTGGGCTCAGGGGGTTCGTATTTCCGAGGCTCTAGGTTCAACGTTCGGCTTTTTCAGAACAGACCTATTTTCAATCCGAAATACCTCGTCATACCCAATTTGTCCTTCTGATACTAATATGAATTTTAAGTAGGACCTACATTGGGATAGTTTGGATATCCTACAGTTTCAGATCCTACAATATATACGCTGAAGGATATTACATGCCACCGAAGGGATCCTAAAAGTGGAGTCCATAGCTACATATATATATATATATTTATATATATATATATATATATATATATATATATATATATATATATATATATATATATATATATATATATATATATATATATATATAATAGGAGATGAAGTTGTCCTCGACGGTCAGTGTGTCAGTTCTTGTAATGAAGGAAGCAGCAGTGGACCTCCTGAAAACACACAAAGGCTGGCTGTCAGGTGACCGCGGATGGAGCAAAGACCCTTCCCCTGTCAGGTGGCTGCGGATGGACCAAAGACCTTCCCCTGTCAGGTGGCCGCGGATGAACCAAAGACCCTTCCCTGTCAGGTGGCCGCGGATGACCACAAGGACCCTCCAACCTGACTGATGGCCACGTATGGACCAAAGACCCTCCTCTTGACAGGTGGCCATGGATGGACCAAGGACCCTCCTCCTCCTGACAGGTGGCCACGTATGGACCAAAGACCTCCCTGATAGGTGGCCACGGATGAACCAAAGAACTTCCTCCTCTTGACAGGTAGCCACGGATGGACCAGGGACTCCTCTCCTTGACAGGTGGGCACGAATGACCAAAACCCTCCTCCCCTGACAGTCACGGGCGAATCAAGCGCGCTCTTCAGGTCTAGTCCCTACCAGAACACTACGGTCATCCCTCCCAACCTTTCTGGTTACTGACGTAGGGTGTTGTATGATGGTGTTGTAGGTGTGTAGGGTGATGTTGTAGGGTCGTGTTGTAGCGACTTGAAGGGTAGTATTGCAGGGTGACGTAGGATAGTGTTGGGTTGTGTAGAATGATTTAGGAAGGTGTATCATAGTGACGCTATTGGATACTACAGGGTTAAGGTTTGGTTGCGGAAAGGAGTGTGTATTGCTAAAGATGCGTGAGGGCTGAAGGCTGCCCCGTGATGCTGGGTGACAGGGGATCGTGTAGGGTGATGTAGGGAAAGGTCTACCACCCATAATACTTATCTTACTCAACGAATCGTTTAACAGGTTACTTGTTTTCCGTTGTTTTTTAGATTACTGTGAATTAGAATCTAAGGCCCGCCTCTAGGTGTTTTGTCGTGTTTACAGTATATTGTTCAATGTATTGACATATTTGTGTAAGTCTTTTAGTTTGTATGACAAGATAATTTTGTTTAACATTAGATAATACTGTATCCTAACGTCGAGTATCATTGCATCCATTTATTATCTTTACACTCAAGGTAAGTTTCTACACTGACAACATCTTATCAATGACAAAACAACTATGCCAGTTGAACTTGTGGATGGAAAGTGTTTGTACGGGAGCTTGTGGTTGGTTAAGAAGTAGTCAGTTGTTGACTGCAGGGCCGTCCATTACGTCAAGACAACAAGTCCTGGTTGAAATGTTTCAGATATCCCCAACCAGGTCTTGTCTTGACGTAATGGACACCGTAATAATGAACACTATACCGTGTGCCATCCGCCAGATGCAGCCGTAGTAATAACTTAAGATAATATACACGCAAAGATGTTAAATGATCCCTTCTTGGTAACTGTGAAGGAAGGTAAAACCATCTGTGCTGACTGGTGAACAACTACACACCATTCATAACAATTACCCGCCCAGCCAGTCAACAACTGACTATGCACGGAAAGTTCGTATACCTTTGTGTGAAAAGTGAAGGGTCGGTTAACTTAATTCTGTCAGAATATCAGAGTTGACCTGCACCTGACTAGTGTTACTCAGGTGTGCTGCACCACGTGTAAGATCTTCAAGTCACCGTCACGAGTGGTGTTCGTTTTCTAACTGTTAAATTGTGGTGAGTCTTCGACCACTGTGACTTGGTTGTGTCTTAGAACTTTCCGTGAGGAAGAAAGGAATCATGATATAATGTCCTGAAGGACGACGGCCCAGTTAGGAGGAAAGGAACGATATATGAATATGGTCTACAGTAGCTTTATCTTCATATTCTTATTTTTGGGGAGAGGGAGGGGTAGTGCAGGACCACTGGAAGGAGGAAGTGGTTCAGGGCCACGGGATGGGGTAATGTGGTCCAACGCCACTGGAAGGGGCAGTAAATTATAATATTCAGTTGACACAGAAAGGACGACACCAATATTTCGCTAATGTGTACACCGTGACAAAAGTTCGTTCCCCTGGGTGAAACTGAACCACGGGAATGAATCTCCGAATTTACTTACTATCATCTGGTGCGGGTGTGTTGTTTTATCTCATCTGGAGTCGATGTTGCTTCAGTTTGGGAGGGGTGAACTTTTGACCTTTAATGTACAGTCCCCAAAAATGTATCGTTAGATTTTCCGTCGCTTCATTTTGAAAGCCTTGGCGAAATGCTTTATATGATCCCCAGTGCATCACCATAAGTTGGTACGCCTGCTCACCATATCAGCAATAGCTAGAGATGGGGAGGAATCGTCCTAGTGACACACTATAATAGATACTTCAATATAACAAGAAATCCACGTGTAAAAGCCTCTGACTGATGATTACAATAACACTGAAATATACATTGAATGGAAATGTTTCGAACATCATGAAAGACAGACCTCAAAACGGACATTTCACCAGTACGTCGTTATATTAACGTAGTTTCATTTATGCTGAGTTTCACAGCTTCACAATATGCCTACTCAAGTTGTTCACGATATATCTGATTTATGAAGAGTGACAAAATAATACTTGATATTAGAGTGAACAGCTACAGCAATATAACACTATATCGCTGCATATAAGATCTCCCATGTTACTGATATGTAAATGTTTCAAATCAGTGGACTTGCAGGCAACAGAACCCCGTCCACCTACAGAAGGACATTTGTGTAAGTTTCAGTGTGGCAGCAGTTGTTTCATGGCGCCTAACCCATCGCGATACTGTGGGTTCGCTTACCCAGTTCTCCTTGTTATATATCAGCGTTACGTATACCTCTGTTGTGAAGCCCAATAATAGCACCTCTCGCATCTTATGTCACCCTGTTGATTCCTCGCTCCATTCGATGTAAGATCCCGTTGATGACTGGCATGATGGTGTCCATTTACAACATCCACTTTGAGTCGGGTAATATATGATCTGAAGCCTCGGATGATCACATATTCGATAACGCATACTGTATACTCATTCATGCTCAAAGGTCGCGGATTTAGAACTGCCAACCGTTCAGAAAGAGGTTGAGTAACATTGCTCGGAAAGCCTCGAATCACATCGACCCCATGACAACGATACTGTTGGAACTGTACAGTACAATATAGATAAAGTGGGATAAGTTTTAAACTGAGAAAAAAAGAATTGAAGATTAAAAGATGACTGGTGATGTTACTTGTTATTTTATTATCAATAACTGTGACCTACAGCATCTTGTCACTTCTTATTTCTTGTTGTGTGTTACCATTTTGCTTGAGTTAGGAAAGTTATCATAATTTTATTTTATACTATGACACCGTGGTTAACTTTCATAATTCAATGACCCTAAGACTCAAATGCTTCATAAACTCTAAGATCTGGCAGTGACTACCGTTGAGTCCCCAGATAATAACCACTTAACTATAAACATCTTAATATGTCACATATATAAAAGCCTTCAGTGCAGTAATGGTGTAAGGAATGAATTATTGACTATGTTATGTTTTGTGTTTATATGCCCAGTGCCTCACCCGATGTTCTCTTGTTTTGGTCCACAGGAGGATGAAGGCTTCATTAGGAAGAAGAGCGGCCACTCCCGGATAACGAGTTCCAGAGGAAAGTGTGGCTGCTCGAGTACCCGGAGAGCTCGCAGAACGCGCGTGGTGGCCATCATCTCCGTCTTCGTTATCCTCCTTTCCATTGTGATCTTTGCCTTGAGACACTACCGGAATTCAAGCACTACAAGGTGTTCAATACCACGACCAACGGCACTGTGGAGGAAGACGAAGTGCCCGAAGTCACGGATCCTTTCTTCCTCATAGAAACCATTTGTATCGTTTGGTTTTCCACTGAACTATTAGTGAGATTTTCGCGTCGCCACCAAAGGAGTGCGGAAAGACGTCATGAACATTATCGATATAGTAGCTATCATTCCTTACTTTATTACATTGGCGACTGTGGTAGCCGAAGAGGAGGGAGAGGTGATGGTCATCCCTGCAGAGACACTTTCCCCGCACGAGAAGGGTCCAAACCAGGCCATGTCTTAGCCATTCTACGAGTTATTCGACTGGTCCGAGTATTCAGAATATTCAAATTGTCTCGACACTCCAAGGACCCAGATTCTAGGAAGAACGCTCAAGGCATCCATGAGAGAACTCGGTCTGCTAATATTCTTCCTCTTCATCGGTAAGTCTGCCAAAATCTCCATTTGTTGTAGCCTCACCACTGTCAATCTGTCAATACCCAGCATTGGCAGCTACGAGTCTGCCTCTTGGCGTAGACTCTGTGACCCCTTTCTTGCTGTTCTTGTCCTGAGTGTAGGTGTAAAGTAGACGACACCCACTGAGTAGAATATATTAACTCTATAAAGATCTTTAACTTGTAGATATTGATAACAATGCATAAAGTTAGCGAATATTATATCGAGTTAGAAGTATTTCATCATTATCAGACTTCTGGAACAGCTTTGTATCTTGTGAGATGATATTTGTTGTAGACCATCGTTAGGTAGACGTTCTTTAAAATACATAATTATATTCCATCTTGTAAACGCTTAAAACTTAATATCATGTTATTCACAAATATTTTCTTGAGCTCTTGTTTTGTAGAGTGGAGACCACACGGCTCTCATTATCCATAACTATAGCGTCGTGTCACTTGATGTTAGTTACAGTTTGTCATATTTCGTAAGTGTATTTGTATGTTGAATGTCTTGATAGTAATATATAAAGGTGATAGTCATCATTTAGCTATAACTATATTCTTGTTAATTCTGTAAATATATTATAAGTAGTTATATCGGCGTTATGGGGAACAAAAACTAGATAAAAAATTTCTTCTGCAGTTCCCAATTTACTATCGTAGACATTTTTCACGATTAGCAACTGCCAGTGATTTTGTGTATATATGAATATACAGATTGTTACTTTTCAGGATGCTTGTGTGTTCATGTGTGGCTTATAGCTTGTTGGGAGCTTGTCTGTTTGTCCTCCGTGCATGTCGCAAAACTCTTCTACTCTGTCTCTTTAGTCAAATTATTAAAGCCGTTAATACCGTTAAGGACGGACTCTGCAGGGTAACTCAAGCTTGAGGGTGATGAGCTGGTGGTGGCTGGGGAACCACTGAGTTGTATCTCTTGTAAAGTTTTTTATAGCATGCTCCGATGACTTAGGCTTCCTTCTTAACTGTGAAGGGATGTAGGGACCAAGTAATGTGCTAGACAACAGTTAGTTCTTTTTCAAGGTTTCTGCATTTTTTATTATTGTTTTATTTTAACTAGAGTAGGTTAGACTATTAGCCACCGCTCTGACCTTAGCAGTTCTCTTGTCAACTTTGTATCTTTACATGATAATGCAACGTAACGTTGGTTCACTCTTTTATATTAGTTGGTTTGTTTTACGGGTTTAGGCATCCCTCCTTAGTTAGTGTTAAAGAAAATTTTTATGATTTATGTAATAAAAAGGAAATAATATCAGCTTGTTCTGTAGTGCTTCCTTATTGGGGAATATTTTATGGACAGCGGAACACTGAAAGAAATTAATGGTATTATATCACTTAAAATTTAATGTTCCATCATTATCATAATTTAACCTCAAAGCAGGAAAATTGTGATATTTAGACAGTAGTGTTTGATAGCACCATACCTTAAGAGTTTGTAATTGGTTGCACTGAAAGGTTACAGGTAGCGGTGTGGAGCACAAACTCTTGTACCTCGTATCTGTTTCTAACGAGGTGAGGAGAGCAGAACAAGAACCCCGTACTCGACTCCGGGTCTCCTGACGGTGTCGACTTTATCTTTCCATGAGTCCTTGGCCTTAATCGCTGCCAGCTGTAAGATAGTAGATAGTCACCCTTGTGAGTACGGAGATCCGCCCATACCGCATTTGTGCACAACTTATGTGAAGTTGATTCTCAAACTGAGTATTAACCACAGTGTTAGTCAAATATACGTAGGCGACGTGTACCTGCATATCCGAGAGCGTTACAACCTAAACCCCAGCGATGAGGCGCCGTTACCTTAGTCCTATGACAGGGTGCTACGGCCAGAATCGTCGAAGCTGCGCCTTGCAAATACTGACCTGTCGTCCATCAATGCTCGTGAGATCTCTGAATTTAGTGGCTGGTTTGTTTTTCTTGAGTATCGAGTGGTGAGGGAGCCACACACCGATGGTGCCGAGTGGGTGGCACCTCTGGCACTTCTCTCAAGTTTGTATAGGAGCCTCGTTCTCCTTTGTTTGTCGTGTTTGTTCCTTGTGTTATTCTGAAGCTCTTTTTGTTATTCTCGAAGCTCTTGTTTGTCGTGTTTGTTCCTTGTGTTATTCTCGAAGCCTTTTGTTTGTCGTGTTTGTTCCTTGTGTTATTCTCAGTTTTTTGTTTGTCGTGTCCTGTTTGTGTTATTATTCAGTGTCTTTGTCGTGTCTTTTTTTTTTTTATTAACCCTTTTGATTTGTCTCTGTTTACATACCCTGGAACACCATTGTTTGTCATACTTTAACTTATTAGTTTCTAATCCTTTAGTTTACAATACTGTATAGTCATCTGTGTCACATCTTACCGTAATGCCTTTTATCTCTTGTTAGTCATATCCTAGTTTACAGTTTATCCTATTTACAGTTTATCCTAGTTTACAGTTTATCCTAGTTCAATAGTCAATCTAGTTTATACAGTCTATCCTAGTTTACAGTCTAGAGTCATCTAGTTACAGTCTATTCAAGACAGTCTATCCTAGTTTACAGTCTATTCAAGTTTACAGTCTATCCTAGTTTACAGTCTATCCTAGTTTACAGTCTATTCAAAGTCTATCCTTTACAGTCATCAGTTACAGTCATCCAGTTTACAGTCTATCCTAGTTTACAGTCTATTCAAGTTTACAGTCTATCCTAGTTTACAGTCTATCCTAGTTTACAGTCTATCCTAGTTTACAGTCTATCCTAGTTTACAGTCTATTCAAGTTTAAGTCTATCCTAGTTTACAGTCTATCCTAGTTTACAGTCTATTCAAGTTTACAGTCATCCTAGTTTACAGTCTATCTAGTTTACAGTCTATCATAGCATAGTCTATCCTAGTTTACAGTCTATCCTTTACAGTCATAATAGTTACAGTTTATCCTAGTTTACAGTCTATCATAGTTTACAGTCTATCCTAGTTTACAGTCTATCCTAGTTTACAGTCTATAATAGTTACAGTTTATCCTAGTTTACAGTCTATCCTAGTATATCCTAGTTACAGTCTATCCTAGTTTACAGTCTATTCAAGCTTCATACAGTTCAGCATCCTAGTTTACAGTCTATTCAAGTTTACAGTCTATCCTAGTTTACAGTCTATCCTAGCTTATAGTCTATATAGTTTAGTCTATCCTAGTTTACAGTCTATTCAAGTTTACAGTCTATCCTAGTTTACAGTCTATCCTAGTTTACAGTCTATCCTAGTTTACAGTCTATCGTTGTCTAGTTTACAGTCTATCCTAGTTTACAGTCTACCTGTTTACAGTCTATTCAAGTTTACAGTCTATCCTAGTTACAGTCTATCCAGTTTACAGTCATAATAGTTTACAGTCTATCCTAGTTTACAGTCTATTCAAGCTACAGTCTATCCTAGTTTACAGTCCATTCTAATCTATCCTAGTTTACAGTCATCCTAGTTACAGTCTATAATAGTTTACAGTCTATCCAAGTTTACAGTCTATCCTAGTTTACAGTCTATTCAAGTTTACAGTCATCTTTACAGTCTATCATAGTTTACAGTCTATCCTAGTTTACAGTCTATCCTAGTTTACAGTCTATAATAGTTTACAGTCTATCCTAGTTTACAGTCTATTCAAGTTTACAGTCTATCCTAGTTTACAGTCTATCTAGTTTACAGTCTATAATAGTTTACAGTCTATCCTGTTACAGTCTATTCAAGTTTACAGTCTCCTAGTTTACAGTCTATCCTAGTTTACAGTCTATCCTAGTTTACAGTCTATCCTAGTTTACAGTTTTTTACAGTCTATTCAAGTTTAGTCTATCCCTAGTTTACAGTCTATAATAGTTTACAGTCTATTCAGTTTACAGTCTATCTAGTTTACAGTCTATCCTAGTTTACAGTCTATAATAGTTTACAGTCTATCCTAGTTTACATAGTTTATCCTGGTCTATGAATTCTTGTTATTTTCTGTCATATTTTTAACTTTGATAGCTGAGTGAGTGGCCTTCTGCTGGCACGTCATTGCTCGAATCTCATGACTCCTCCTCCTCCTTGTCCAGCCTCGTGTAACGCTGTGAGTCATATCATAGCCTCATTCTTCACTCGTTTCATAGCTTCGTTTAATGTTGTTGTTGTTTGGCTTTCAGTTAAAGAATTTCACTCTTCTTTTGTTTTACTTTCTGTGTTTTTGTTGACATAGATCCGGATGTCTTTTGTCTTGTGGAAGTTTTATGTCTGTTGTTTGTTAGGACTTTTATTGCTATGGATAACTTTTTGTTTGTCAAGTCTAATAGTTGTATATACCCTAGTCTTATATATAATGTTATATATCTAAGTCATATTTTATATAACCATCGTTTATCTGGACATATTTTATAGTGTCATATATCTTCCTGGCAATTGTTTTATAATTATTGTATATCTTTATCATGTCTTATTTAGCTCCATATATCTTTTTCCATGTCTTAGATAGCTCAGTATATCTGTCCTATCAGAAACTAATACACGGTCATATACCACCGTTGTATGAATTACCGTATTGTTGTTATGTCTCAACACCAGAGCTTCCTATATATCCACTATGTCTTAATTCTTATATCTTTGCCATGTCTTACCTTATATATGCTTGTGTGTGTCTATTGTATCGTGAAATATCTTATACAAA